AAAACTATTATTTAGTGATTTAATTATATTTTTCTAATAAAATACTACATTTAGAGTTCTCTAAGACGACTTAAATTCTCACTTTCTACTCTAAAAAATAAAAAAATATCACTGTATTACAATTTTTGATAGTTCGAGATAATTCATCTTCTATGTAAGATTTTAATTAGGGTTCTGTTATTTATTTATTTGGTTACTTTCTCTCAAATGCATTTAAGTTTTCAATTCACCCCAAAAGGAAAAGCATGTTACTATAGTTTTGTGGCTTTCTTGAGGACCTACTAAATAAGTACAGTAGATGATTTGCGTCACTAATCAAGACTTTTCTAGATAACTTAGGTCAAAAATAGTACAGTAGTCACTTATGTTGACGTTTCCCTAAATAAAAAATGAAATAATCTATTTATTCAAGCAAATGTTGTAATGTTAAAAAAATATATAAAATAAAAAATGAAAAACTCTTCGAAGACAAGACGAACTCTTCGAAGTGTGTAACACATTGATCACGTGGTCTCACAAATGTTTTGCAATTGACATTTTATTCATTAAGGCTTTCATAATTCACCTGACTAACTTATTTGAACCACTCAGTTAAAGTATTTAGTGTTTTTAACTCTCTCTCTCTCTCTCTCTCTCTATATATATATGTATGTATGTATATTGCATCTAGTCTGTTAAGTTAATAATTCTTTGAATAGCTTTAATTTTCAGTTTCCTCTTACGTGCTCAAACCCTCATTACGTGAACATAGTATGCGAATACTTAATGTAGAAGTAGAGTAGATAATTGTTACAATTTAAAAAATTTCAAATATTATTTAGGAGTTCATTCACAAAATCTTTGGTTATTTCTTTTTAAATACACTTTACCCCCTTTTTAATTATTAAAGTTTTTTTTTTTTAATTTTTTTTATTGACAAGAAATGCACACTCACACACTCATTTTGTTCTTTTAAAGATTCGAACTCTCATTATCTACTTTAAAATAATAAAAGAGTTATCATTAGGTCACAAGACCCTCAATAAAATCACCTCCTTTTCATAAATCCTTTGTTAAGATTAATAATTATAATTTACATAGCATTGTTGTTGCCCCAAAAGCTTAAATGATTAAAACACTCTTAATCAAATTGATGCAATTTAATGATCAAAAATACCCTTTACATTAAATGTTAAAAATGGAAGTAGGATTTTGTGAATTAAAACTTTAATTTATTTAAATAAAGGAAAGGTTATTTGATAATTTCACCTGTCAATACTTGCTATTTCGTAACAATTTGACATACACGGGAGTGATTTTATTGTACAAGGGTTTAAAAAAAAATTTAAATAAAAAAGAAGAAGACGAAGAAGAAGAAAGAAAGTACAACAGTGTTATGTGAATTAAACCCTATGATATACTGAGTATTTACTGAGAGCAATAAATCTACCATCTACTATAACAGTTACTCCTTGTCAAAGAGGTTTACTTTGATTTTATCTTGTTTCGAGCTTTCTCAATTGTAGATTTAAGGCACTAGATTGGTACGTACAAATAAAATGAAATAGGAATGAAAAAAAATAATTATTCTTATTATATTATTTGGTTATAAATATAAAATGATAATTATTATTGTAAGTGGAAGTGGTGATGGTGGAAGGCGAAGGCAATAAAAGTGATGGAAGACGACATCAGTGAAAGGTGGCGGCGACGGTGGAAGCAACGAAAGGTGGTGATGGTGGTGGTGCGGTGGCAGAAGACAGTGACAAAAAGCCATGATGGTGGTCGCAAGCCGTGGCAACGATGGTTGTAGTTTTTGGACTTAGAATGTGACGGTTTTTAAAATTTTGATTCTTTTAAAGTTTTACTTGGGAATGATCATTACATAAGTTTGGATGTGGAATAATTTTTCATTCCAAAGAATAGTCGTGTTCATGTTACATCTTAAATTTCATATTAACCAAGAAATGATTGAAATAGACAATTTATTTCATTCCATTTTATTTAATTTATCCTATCAATTTATTTATTTATTTATTTATTTTTTTCATAATTGGTACTCATACACACATGTCTCTACTAAGATTCGAATTCTTGACTTCCCTTTAGAAAGTAAGATGTTGATATCACTAGACCACTGATCCGTTGATATACCTATCAAATTAAGTCTAAAGTTTCATATTAAACAAATAAATGACCGAAATAGATAATTTATTACACTCCATTCTATTTGATTTATGCGTATCAAATTAGGTCTAAGATGCAATGATAGAGAATCCAACCACTCACTGCACTTGCAGCTATGGTTTAACATATCGGTTGGTTTCTAACTTTCTTTCAAACATCTGATATCGTTATATACCTATATAAATCGATGGATTCAGCTGATTTTATAGCAATATTTGTTCGAATCCATTACATCGCGATCGCAATAAGAGATGAGATTAGCATAAGAATTAGCGAAAAATAAGTTAAAAAAATGATAGGGTAAAGTGTAAACCCCCCCTGAATTATTAGCTTTTTGCAACCAACTCCCATAAATTAAAGATTGTCCCCCTAAATTATTAATTTATTGTAATTAAGGACAAACCCATCACAAAAGATTATTTTACCATTTCTTATTAAATTTATCATTTCTTATTAAATTATTTTTTATTATATTTTCTCTTATTTAAATATTAATTATACCATTTACCTTAATTTAAAATTAGTATCAATTGATTATAAAAATGGGGAAAAAAAAAGATTTGTAGCTATCATTTTTTAAAATGATTAACTTATTATAATAAAATTTATTATACTCACTTTAAAAAAATTTAGTATAAAAAAATATCTTATTTTTTAAACAATATTCATGAAAAATTAATAAATTACGTAAATAAAAAATATCTTCTTTTTAATGCAATATATTTATGAAAATTAAAAAAATTACTTGAATTGTTTCAAAATTTTATATTTAAGATTTTTATTTAAATAACTAATTAAAAAGATTAAAGGTAAACTTATGCAAATTTAATTGAGAATATTTTATCAAATTAGTATGAATTTTTTTCATAATTTATTTCAATAAGAAAAATATATCTAGTGTAATTCAATAAGAAAATGTATTATGGTTATTTAATGAAAAATAAGTAGATAATGAGATATTTTGTAAATAAATGTGATAATTTAATAAATTTTATGCATAAAATATAATTAAAAGGAGTTATTTATAAATTTAGACATAATTGGTGGGCTTTTTATTTTTTATTTTTGCACATTACCCAAAATGATATGATCCAAAGGACAAGGTCTTCCGCGTCACTACCGCAATGGTACGAAACTGTGTGGGTCAGACATGGCAACACCCTTTGCGCAGGTTCCTCTCTCTCACACGTGACCAATACGCAAGCTTACAGGGCCACAAAAGTACGGACCTAAAAACAAACCAAAAAAATATCATCATATCTGATTAATTTTTGCAATTAAAAATTGGCACATCACATTATGTATAAAATGCCTTTTTCAAACAATCATTTTTAGAACGTCAAACATTTTGTTAAACAATTCGACATCATTTTTCAGCAAGCCAATGTAAAATATAAATAAAAAATAATAATTCTAATTGAGAATAATTTGATTAAAGATGTTTAATTGTTTATAAAAAAAATTATAAAAAAAATAATCATTCACCATGATAGATAATTTGTTGGACCTCTTTTTTTTTTCATTGATATTCACACATATGTTTCCACTAAAGTTCGAAACCTTGACATAACTAATTGTATATCAGGAGAAATTATTATATGGTTTATTTTCATAGACATTTGATAACTCTTCGATTGAGAAAATAGCCACACAAAGTGTATTAATATATTATAAAGAAATTTCAATAACGGTATAAATTTAATTGGTCGTCACGTGTCAAATGGACCTGGACCATATAATAATTTCTTACACATAATAGATGATTTAATCTGATATAATTATATTTAATGATGTTTTTTTTTCAGAGGTATAATGGTATTGGTAGGGATTCGAGAGGTAAGTACTTGAGGTCTTATTTTTGAACTGTATTTGTAAATTGAATTATGTGTGTGTTCCAAGATAGATACATATGTTATAAAATGATACATTCTATTTTTTTTTTTTTTTTTTTTTTTGACTACTTTATCATTATTATTTTTTAAAAAATTTTATTTTGTAGTATACCAATAAAACAAATAGGTTTTCTTTTTTCAAGCTCTTTCAAGTGACCATATGGTCACAAAACTGACAACATAATAAAGAGGATAGGAACTGAAATAACAAAATTGTGATGTTTTTGAATAATCTTTGTATTTGATTTATTTAAGAGAGGAGGCCATTGAAGGCCGAAAGGTATTGTGATTTATTGGAGTAAATAAAAGTTAGAAAATAAATAGCAAAATAATTGATGATCAACATTCAACAATGTTAGTTAAGACTTTCGTGTTATGGTCAAAGAAACACGGTTGGTTTCACTTCTTATATTTTATATTTTTCTTGAAGGTTTTTATTATTGAGTTTAATTAGTAAGGTGAATTGTTGTTAGGATATTGTTTAGAAATTGTTTAATAAAGGTAGATTTATCCAAATGTTAGTCATCGTTATAGTTTTATTTTATTTTTTTGACAAGGTTATAGTTTTATTTAAAAATGGTATTTAGGATATTAAATTTTAAATAGTCATTAATTGACAATTAATTTTTAAATATTAGTTATTATTATTATTATTTTAAATTTAAGAACATTGTAAATCAAAATTTCTATTTTTTACAGTTGATTAACTATTTTTTTTCTTTTCATTATCTTCAATATATATATATATATATATAGAAATACAGTGATCGTACTTACAGGTTCAACAGTAGTACACAGTGCCAAGCTTGAATTTCATCTTCTTTTATCGCCTTGAATCATCATATAAACAAAGAAAAAAAGGAAAAGGTTAAATTGGAAGGGTCGTCGATTCTTCGTGGGTCCACGGTAGGCCGGCACTTTAACCCCATGTCTTGTTGAATTTACCGTTTATGCCAACACTGAAAGAGAAAAAAAAGAGAGAAAAGTTCGTTGAAGAAAAGTAAAGCAGGCTTGCAGAGACTTCCCTCTTTCATCTTCTCAGATCTGATTTCTGTAATTTTTCCAGATCTCGACTACTTCCAATCTCCGATTCAGTTCTTCGGTGTTTCTCGATTATTCCCTTGTTAGGATTCAGAGATCTAGTGAGAGAAATAGTTGTTATTCTGATCATTTTCTGCTTTTCTGAATTAAAAATCAAAATTTGGCGGTGAAGGAGGTCTTGAATCTGTTGATGGACTCTACACACCCTTAAAGGTATGAAATTTTTTATTTCTAGGTTTATTCAAGTTTTGTTATGTATGTAAATACCCAGAATTTTAATTTTTCTCTTTTTTGGGTTTTAATTTTTAATTTTTATTCATTTTTTAAATCTCAAAGGTAAAGGATTGTGAGGTTGAGGATTGTTGATAGATGGAAGAGGTACGTACCCAAGTTGCCCCTCAAATTTTCATCCACCAAACCCTAGCTGGTCATTTCTGTGAGGGGCATCCCATGGCGAAGAAGCGGAGTCTACCCTATTTTCAGCAGCAGCAGGAGCAACAGCAACGGTTCACCACAGGGTTCCAAAACCCTAGAGAAGGCTGGAACCCCAAGGCCTGGGATTGGGACAGTACGAGGTTCGTCGCTAAACCGTTGGAATCGGAGGTGTTGCGTTTGGGTACGGTGACATCTATCCAGGCCGAACAGCAACAGGGGAAAAGAGATGAAGTGAGTGGTGTAGTTCCTATGATGTTGAAGAAGAAGTCTGTGAACGAAGACGATGAGAGGCTTCGATTGAAGCTTGGCAGTGGAGGTGGCAGTGGCGGTGGCGGTGTTGGTGTTGATTCTATTGAGGGGCACGTTTCAAGGCCAAGCAAGAGGGTCCGATCTGGATCTCCCGGTGGCTCTACCTATCCAATGTGTCAGGTTGATAATTGCAAGGAAGATCTGTCCAATGCGAAAGACTATCACCGGCGGCATAAGGTGTGTGAGGTGCACAGCAAATCGAGTAAAGCCCTAGTGGGGAAGCAGATGCAGAGGTTCTGTCAACAGTGTAGCAGGTTGGAACTGTATTAATTTGTTTAGTTTTGCTCTGTTTATAATTATATTCTCATTGTATGATATTTTATTTCTTATGATTTGTAGTGAAATTGTTCATGAGGATGACATATTAAGTGGTTTACAGTACTTATTCTTTTTTGTTTCTGGGAAAGAAAAATGCTTTTTGGTTTCTGATTTCTTAGTCATTAGAGCAAAACTTTGTTATTCCAAATTCACTACTATACTACTTCTACTATTATAATTTTGAACCATGTTTTTTTTTTTTTTTTTTTTTTTCCTATCCATTTGCTTATGGAAACAGTGTCAAAAGGTCTCTTCATTGATACCCTTTTGCTCCTACTTTTTCAGGTTTCATCCTCTTTCAGAGTTTGATGAGGGAAAACGAAGCTGTAGGCGTAGACTTGCTGGGCACAACCGGCGAAGGAGGAAAACTCAGCCAGAGGATGCTACCTCGCGGCTGTTGCTCCCTGGGAACCATGAGAACACTAACAATGGAAATTTGGATATTGTCAATTTGCTAGCAGTTTTAGCTCGTGCTCAAGGTAAAAGAGTAGGCTAAATGTATTGGTTGTTTCCTTTCTCTTTCTGTGTGATCTATTAAAATGCAGTTGTGTGTTATACTACTAGGGAATAATGGTGACAAAAGCGGCAATTGCTCAGCAGTACCTAATAAAGACCAGCTCATTCAGATTCTTAGCAAGATAAATTCATTACCTTTGCCGGCAGACTTCATAGAAAAACTGCGGAAGTCGGGAAGTTTTAATAGGAGGATTCCAGAACAAATGTCCTCAGGTAATGGAAACAGAGTGAACGAAGAAGCATCTTCTCAGTCGACGATGGACTTGCTCGCTGCTCTTTCAGGTACTTTAAAAACATCTGCTCCTGATGCTCTTGCAATTTTCTCTCAAAGAATCAGTCAGAGCAGTGAGGCTGACAAAACAAAGCTGGCCTCCCTGGACCAAAGTAAAGGTCTCAATTTACAAAAGGGACCTACTTTGGAGTTTCCTGCAACTGGAGGGGAGAGAAGTAGCACCAGTTACCAGTCTCCAACTGAAGATTCAGATTGCCAGGTTCAGGAAACTCAAGTAAATTTGCCGTTACAGCTCTTCAGTTCCTCTCCTGAAAATGATAGCCCACCAGAATTTGCATCTACTAGCAAATACTTCTCTTCTGACAGCAGTAATCCCATGGAAGAGAGGTCACCTTCATCTTCTCCTCCTGTTGTGCAAACGCTGTTCCCAATGAAGACCTCAAGAGAAAATGAGAGGTCCGAGAAGATGTCATTGAGTAGAGAGGTTAATGCAAATATTGGAGCTAGGAATCGTGGTTGCAATATGCCTCTTGACCTTTTTGGAGGGTTAAATAAAGGTGGTAACAATAATTCATTTCAAAGTTCTCCATACCAAGCAGGGTACACATCTTCGTCTAGGTCCGATCATTCACCTTCTAGTTTGAATTCTTATGCTCAGGTAGTTCAGTTACTTGAACTCTGTCATATTTTTTGAGATACATTATGCTACGTTGCTTGATTTTTATTTCTTTTCATTTTGGTTAAAATTTGTTTACCTATCTGATTTGGGAGAATGTATGGTACCTTCCTAGGATCGAACTGGGCGAATAATTTTCAAACTGTTTGACAAGGATCCCAGTCAGTTACCAGGGACGTTGCGAACACAGGTGAGAAATCCGTGGCCTATTTTGACTTGTTAATGTTCTCATCCTGATAGATATGGCAACCTAATAATGTTTGTTGTCTTTCTCATTTAGATATACAAGTGGCTTTCTCACAGTCCCTCAGAAATGGAGAGCTACATTAGGCCTGGTTGTGTGGTTCTATCAATTTACGTATCGATGTCATCTGCTGCTTGGGAGCAAGTGAGTAAACTGCTATAGTATACTTCAGCTTTCCTACATGCAGCTTATGTGCTGACCACTTGCAGGGTATGCATGGTTTTTGCAGCTTGAAGAAAACCTTCTCCAGCGTGTTAATTGTTTGGTTCAAGATTCTGAATCTGAGTTTTGGAGAAGTGGTCGGTTTTTAGTTCATACAGGCAGGCAGTTAGCTTCGCATAAAAACGGTAAGTAGTGCTATGATTATGATGGTGGTGATTGGACTTGTCAGAGGTTTTGGACTGTCACTTTCTCGTTCAATGATTTCTAATAATCTATTGTCTCACTATGGTATAGATTCCAGAAGATTGAAAAGAAATATGGTCCTAAACGTATCTGTCATTTATGACGTTGAAACTTGGATTCATTATGATGGCCTCATGATCATACTTTCTTGATTGTTGTTGTCTTTTTATCAATCTTCAGGAAAGATTCGCGTCTGCAAATCATGGAGATCATGGACTTCCCCGAAATTGATCTCAGTTTCTCCTTTGGCAGTTGTGGGTGGGCAAGTGACCTCTCTTTTATTGAGAGGGAGAAATCTAAGTACTGCTGGCACCAAGTATGTTTAACTCTCTTCCTTTAACTGGGCAGTTATACTTAGCTTTGGTCTTTTCTTTTAAAAATTAAGTTTGATTGGTTTGCAGGATTCGCTGTACTCATATGGGTGGATACATCTCGAAGGAAGCTCCGGTACGGGCTTGTCAGGGCACTGTATATGATGAGATAAGCTTGGGCAGCTTCGAAATACATGGCACTGCTTCTAATGTACTAGGTCGCTGTTTTATTGAGGTATCGTTTTTGAACTCAATTGATCCAGTTTACATCAGTGAGAAAATCTAGAAAATGTTAATTTGAGTTTTGGGAAGTCTGTGACATCTGCCAATTCATGAACAGGTTGAGAATGGTTTCAAAGGCACCTGCTTTCCTGTAATAATTGCTGATGCTTCCATCTGTTATGAATTGAGACTCCTTGAATCTGAATTTGATGCGTCAAAGGTGCATGATACCATTTCCGAGGAACCTCCTGTTGATTTTGGGTGGCCCAGGTCAAGGGAGGAAGTCCTGCACTTCTTAAATGAACTTGGATGGCTATTTCAAAGAAAGAGGATCTCTTCCACACTTGAGGTTCCTGATTATAAGCTTACCCGGTTCAAATTTCTATTCATTTTCTCAGTTGAAAGAAATTGCTGTGCACTGGTGAAAACCCTCCTAGACATACTACTGGAAAGAGACTTCGGCGGGAATGGACCATCAGTTGAGTCTTTGGAGATGCTGTCAGAGATTCACCTCTTGAACAGGGCAGTAAAGAGGAGGTGTAGGAAGATGGTTGACTTGCTTATACATTATTCTGTACTCAATAGTAATGAGATTTCCAGAAAGTATATTTTCCCTCCAAACCTTGTTGGACCTGGTGGTATTACACCTTTACATTTGGCTGCTTGCATGTCAAGTTCAGATGACCTGGTTGACACTTTGACAAGTGATCCGGAGAAGGTATTCATGTTTTCTCTGATATTTAATTTCATCTCTCCTTTATTTTTGTGTTGTTTGTCTGAGATTTCCCCCCTCCCCCCTAGATTCTGGATTCAGATGTATATTGTAGCCCATCCAGTATGGGATTCATACTTATATGACATTTCACTTTATCATTAGCGATGCTATTATTAGGTTTTTTAAGGCTCCACTAGGGTGTCAGTTTGTACCTGAAGATTTATCTGGGTGATATTACTAATAATTTCACCAACCTTAGTATATATATTTATTTAATATTATATATATGTGTGTGTGTGTATATATATATATATATTTGTAGTTTGTTGCATGGTTTAAATTCTCCCCTCCCACTCCGGTTCTATACATCGTTAATTTTGTTCGTCTATCTTCTTATGTAGATTGGGCTGCACTGCTGGAGTTCCCTGCATGATGCCAATGGGCTCTCTCCATATGCATATGCCTCGATGAGGAATAACCACTCTTATAACACACTGGTGGCTCAGAAGCTTGCTGACACAGAAAATGGTCAAGTATCTGTATCAATTGTGAATGAAATAGTGCGACAATGCTCTGCATCAGATCAGGACCGCAGGCCTAGTTCTCAAATCAAGCAAGGGCAAAAATCTTGTTCCAAGTGTGCAGTTGTGGCTGCAAAATACAACAGAAGGATTCGAAGTTCACAAGGCTTGCTTCACCGTCCCTATATTCATTCAATGCTTGCCATTGCAGCTGTGTGTGTTTGTGTCTGCCTGTTCTTGCGTGGCTCCCCAGACATTGGCAAAGTTGCTCCCTTCAAGTGGGAGAATTTGGGTTATGGCCCAATTTAGTTCGAAGAGTAAAACTATATACTTATTTAAAGGATGAGCATAAATAAGGAAGTAGTGAAGTTACGAAGGGCGAGAGAAGTTCATTCAGATGCTGTTTGAGAATGTAGGAAACTTTTGAGTGGGACTGGAGCAGAGAGATGGGATGTGCAAGGGATGATGAAGACAGCTGTATCGTTCAATTTAGATGCTGCATATTTCTTCCTAAACCTGGGATTTGGTATCTTTTGAGATTCGGCCTTCAAATAGGTCCATTTGTGATGGAGAATAGATTTATTATTCTACATTAGACGGTGGGAATGAAAGGCAGAGAGATAAACCAATCATGTGAAAGTGAAGCATTGGAGGTCCAGGCTAAAGAGAGAGAGAGAGCATAAATACTGACTGCAGATTGGAGTTCATCACTGTAAAGTCAATCGGTAGGTTCATTCAGGAATTAATTACAATATTTATATAGTTGAATAGTGAAATATTTATTCAAGTACATTCACAATAAACAGAGGTCGTGTCTTTTTCATTTCTGAGAGTATTTGGATTTTTTTTTTAACTTTTCTGAATATTTTGCAACCCTTAGGTAGTATCTTCAGATATGTATTCTTAGGGAGTTAACATGAATGGTTTTCTGTATCAGGTAAACGGAGTGTTTTTATCAGAAAGAAGATAGTTTATTACCCGCCGTGTAGGATGGTGAATGGATTCTGTTATAAGATATTCGGATTTTTTTATAATTTCGAGTCTTCTTTCTGCTTAAAATTGATTTTAAAGAGGTCCTAAATCTGAAAAAGGATAAAAGAAAAATTGATTTTTTTTTCTTCTTCCTAATTAGTACTTTCTTACTCTTTTGAGGAATTGTTTGCATCTGACATGAATTGATTATGATATTTGTTATTATTGTCATTGAAAAATTTGTTAGAGATTTTTTTTTCCATCTTTCAAATATGTATTTATTATTATTTGTTTCTTTTGTAACATTGCAGAACAAGTGTAGTGTAGTTTATCAAACATGTTTCTTCTATTTTGGATTAAATTATAGCTCAATAAAAACATATTTTTTGCTTCATTAGAAGAAATTAGGTAAATTATACGGAGTACCTCTATAATTTGTTATAATTATAGGGACCTTATATCTTAGATACCTTGTTAATACTTTCCGAACAATCGACTATTAAACTCTTTAACTTGTACAAAACAAATGTACCGTGGTCTTGAAAATAATTGCGAACACACATTAAAGTGTTCCAACTCCAAACAAAAACGTAACTTTAATTACAAAATATGATAAAAATCTGTAGAGTTATATGATAAATGAAATTTTATATTTATATTAATCATATTTATATTGTGTCCGTGCCATACTTTTTTAGAATTAGATGAGTTTGTCTATTATTCCTGCTTCTTAGGGTATTAACTGCGTAGTAATATCATTTTTCATTTTAAGGGTAATTTTATTATAAAGAAAAAAAAAAAAAAAAAACCACCACACCCTGGAACCATCAAATTCTTCTGAAAAACGTCCTTCAAACAATCGAAGTTGAAAGGTTGTCCTTAAACTATTCATATAATGGAAACATCATCACCTTCGATACCCATACAAAATTCCATGAAAATCATTTTCTTCCACACAATTTCTAATCTTTTTCTTTCATCTTTCTGTCTGAATCGTGTTCCCGATTATCATGATGAACTCTCAACACAAGTGGGAATCAAGATGCTGGGAAGTCAAATAAATCTGCTTCTTTGGAATTTTGTCCCATTTATTCAACATTAAGTTGCCCATCGTCTATGCAAGACTTGAACAGGTGAGTGAAAGCCAAATTCTAGAGTAGAATAGTCCAACTTCACTCTGTAATTGGTAGTTGATTGATGCTTAGAAGAGCATTATACTAATAGCTTCGCTTCATTAGGGTTCCTAATTAACCTTTTCAAGGTAAATAATACCTATGTTACCATATAAATGTCCTCTTCCTTTCCTTCTTTCTTTTTTCAATCTAAGTTTTGCTTCTTGTTGTTATAAATGATTGACTTGTTACCTCCATTACTAATTACTTGTGTTGTTCTTGCTTCAGTTTGAATTCTCAGTTTTAGTTTGAAGCTTGTTTTTTGATTGTCTGATAAGTCACTGGGGATGGCCTAATGAGTTTTTAATTACTATAATAATTTAGTAGGTAATAAATAAATAATACCTACGTTACTATATATATACACTTTTGATTGATGAACAACTTTGACAATACTAACATAATGCGTTATTGTGAATTTTTATTACGACTTCCAAATTAGGATTATGTTTCCGTTTTTATATAGTGAATATATATATATAAGTGAAGATCAGATACATTATTACAGAGAATTGGAATCTTCACGAATTCAATTACGGTTCATGAACCTAGCAGCAGTGTTTGATTTGTTAATTGTTTTGTATGTCAGTTTGATAGTACGAGAGAGTTTTTTTTTTTTTTTTTTTAAGAAAGTGAGAGAGAGAGAAAGGTAAGTCTAACAGAAAAGAGAAAGTGAGGAGGTGGGTAGGGCTTACAAGAGTTAGCAAGAATGAACTTTGACACCCAAATAATAATTAAAAAAAAAAAAAACATGGTCGTACCATTCATGATGCAAATTTTTAAATTTTAAATTTTTTTTTCAAGATATGTATTGCTGCAATGATTGTTTTTGAACAAATTAGGTAGATGCAATTCAATAATCAGTGCGTCAAATACTTAATATGAGATAAACTATTTCAAATTGTTACGAAAATGAACATTAATATCGGTAATTGATATAATTAATATAAAGAGCATTCTTCTAAGATAAAATATTATTCCAAACTAAATGGTAAAGTGTGTGGGGTTTATGAAATGGAATTCCAGCCGTCCTAAATGGGTCCAGGACTTCAACCAAAGTCATTGGACGAATCAATAGCATTTGGGTCCCCAGATATCCAATTTGAAGTCCTCTGTTTAATCTACATGGTCTGTTCAATCATAATCGAATAATACTTTATTCAATATTTTTCTTGTCTGATTGTAATTGGTTGGTATTATACTCAGATCCATTTGACACAAACAAATGTTTTTTTTTTTAGGTGTCAAATGGTAATTGGTTGGGACCATTGATCCGGGACAATGTAATAATTTCTAGGTTTTCATGCAACCAATATCTGCTCCTGTAATGGAGGATGGAGGGGAGTAAAGGTTGTTTGTATGAGGAAAGCACTGACAACCATTGCACATGTACCACGTTAGTGATGTATATATACAAGTAGTACTATAGCAGAGAGGGAAGAGCTAACTGCTGAAGGAGAATAAATAATCCGAGTAAAGAAGAAGAAAAAAGAGTTGGGTGAAGATGAAACCTATCGTCCTGCAGCTGTGGTATGTTATCCTGATACCATTGGCAGCCGCGTCGGCATCTGCGGGTACAGAAGTAGCAGCAGCAGCAGCAAGTACATCAATAGCACCGCCGGGCTGCAAAGAGAAATGTGGCAATATAAGTGTCCCATACCCTTGTGGCATTGACAACTCTAGATGTTGTCAGAATGAAAGCTTCTTGCTAAAATGCGAGTACGAGACTTCCTTGGACTCTTCTCCTGGATTAATGATATACAACATACAATTATTAGCCGATGTTTCAACATTAAATTTTGAAATAATAATAGTAGTAGTCATAATTTAGCTTGATACCATGCATTTGCATTTCTGGTATGCTGTTGAATTTGCCACAAATACTGGAATGCAGTTTTCTATGGAGGGGGTACGTTGAGGGGAAGAAACAAAATGAAAATTTTTCAGAAAAATGGAGGTTTTTTTGTTAAAGCATCAAAAAGTTCGGATCTTGAGGGAAGTGGAGCTAGATAGGGCAACCAACAATTATGATGCTCAACAACTTGCCGGCGAAGGAGGCTTTGCTACCGTCTACAAAGGAGTTTTAGAAGATAGATCAACAGTGGCCATCAAAATGACCACCTTCCGCTAGAGGTAATAATCGAGCAATTTCAACACGAAATTGACGTTCTTTTTCAGATCAACCATGCACATTAATGTTGTTAAACTCTTGGCTTGTGTTTGGAGACCAAAGTTCCCATTGCTGATTTACGAGCTTGTCTCGAATGGATCACTCTTATGACCACATCCATGTCAACAATGTTAAGATCATGGGTAAATCGTCTAAGGATTGCTGCAGAAAGTGTGCTCGCACTAGATTACTTGCACTCATCGGCTGAACCCCCAATCATTCATCGTGATGTGAAGTCCATGAACATACTTATTGATGAAAATTTCACTGCAAAAGTTGCAGATTTTGGAACTTCTGTACTAATTCCATCGAATCAAACTATTCACTCCAAAGTAAAAGGCAAGTTTGGGTATATGGATCCAGAGTACCTAACTACTGGTATTTTGACAGTAAAAAGTGATGTTTATAGTTTTGGAATTGTCCTAATGGAGCTTTTAACTGGACACAAGGCCAACTTCATTCAGTAGTTCATTTCTTCGGTGAAACAAAAAAAAATTATCTCAGGTTCTGAGCTTTGGAGAAGATGATCCAGGGGAAATGGATCGGATAGAAGCTGTCGCTGAGCTGGCTCGGAGATGTCTCAGTAGAAGTGGCATGAGGCGGCCTACAATAAAGGAAGTGGCTGAGAAACTGATTGGAGCCAATGAAAGGGAGGAAGAGACGGAGAGCTTGCTAGGAGGTGAAAGAGCTGCACCATGCCGATGAAGAAAATGACACCATGTTTCACACGAAGTCAAAAACACTTTACATCACAGCATTAGACAATTGAACAAGCTTGATCCGGTGGTGGTGGTGGTGGTGGTGGTTTGTGTGACAGAAGGCAGGGCAGCAATTGGATTCACTTCTATAGCATCCTTGCCCTCATATCTTTGTGTACTTATTATGTAGTAGTGTTAAAGCTGTTTAATATGTGTAATGGTGTCTTTTATCAGTATGATCATTGTCAGCAATAGGTATTGTATGCACTTCTATTCAGTAATATGTATGAAAACAAGGTGTGTAAGAATTTTTTTTTTTTTTTTTTTTTAATTAAAAAAAGAGTAACATGATATGAATTTTCCTTTTACTTAAGTTGAAAGTTTGATATCAATCCCAAATATGATCAAATTTTTTTCAATCAATAAATTTATTGTCTGAGTGACTTAATATTGTTACACAAGAATTTATTTGATTTCATATGTGCGTACTTGATTGTAAATGTTGAATATTATTAATGGAATTCAATGACCATTTACATCCATGTTATAAGATCAAACTAGTTGTCCATTACAAATTGTCCTCTTGCTGAGATTAAATTGCTTTCATTTTCAGAGAGTCCTATGGCAACTTCTTTGTTTGACGAAAACTATGATTCTTATTAATCTAAATAATACTGAATAAGATTTTTAAAACTAAAATATAATAATGCGTACAGCATAAAAGGAAAAAGAGATAATGATAGATATCAGAATAAACTTCCTACACCTTCCAGCAAAAGGGAAAAGGAGATAAAAGAGAATTAATTGAGAAAGTATAAAGAGAATTAATTCAAAGAATAAACTAGTTGTTTGTTACAAATTTTCGTAGCATATATATATAGATCATTAAAATTGAGTATATTTTTTCTTACATAAACATTTTTAAATATAGCTTGCATATGCAATATATAAACAACTTTCCCTGGGTGGGCTTCCCAGAAAACATCACATCTCGGCCACATAATTGCATCTTTAACTCCATTTTTGTGCACCCATCTGGGTGGCTCATAATGAAAGGAAACCAGGCCTCAAGTGGGCCACCATGTTGGATTAAACCCAGTTGATGAAATGGGTTTAATCTGACAAGAGAAGATGGGTCAACATGGGTAATTTCTAATGGGCTTGTGGTCACGTTATTTCTGCGAAGGCCCAATATTACAATACCAATGGAATACTGATAAACGTAGTAAATGCTTGGATTTACAATTTTCAGGAGGTACCAAAATTATACTGGTTCACTAATTTCTCATCATTCTCTTTCTTAGGCAAAAAAAAACATAAAAAAATATGTTACTTTCTTATTACCAAGGCTGTGCTTGGTGTATATAGAATTACAGTTTTGGAATTGAAATTGATGAAATTTTTTTAGAAAATTGGTTCAATTTTGTGAGTCACTTTTTTTTTTTATTTTTTTTAATTGTACAAATTTTAATTCTGAAACTTCAATTTCATGCAATCGAATACAACTTTAAAATAAATTACATGCACACTATTAATGATCTTGTAATCTATTAATATCTCATTTAACTCTTAAAATGGATGGCAAAAGTGGAGAGAGTTCGAATTTTCAAAAGAACAAAGTGTGCCTTAGTGATATATATTACTTGTCAAATGGGAAGAAGAAAAAAAAATCACACGCATACTTGAGAAATAGTGCAATCAGATCAGTCTGCTTAATAAAAAAATTACACAAACCTTTCATAAATAAAAGGTGTGACTTTGACTCCCTCAAACGATTTGCGAAGAATTTGATTGAATGGAGTTAAGGGTTGTTTGGAGGTTGCTATGTCACGGGGTTGTTTCTTAAGATTTTTACGCCATAGTCCATAGACTCGTTGCAAAATGAAGTACAAGTAGAACATACCATGATACCAAGAAACAACACAATTTTTATCAAGCTAAATAAATTAATTCGTCAACGTGTCAGTCGCCTAGTAGTATCCGATTCTTACTTTTTAAAGAAAGGTTAAGGATTCAAGTCTCAGTAAAAATAGATGTGTGTAAGTGTCAACTAAAAATAATAATAATAAATCATGGAATTACAAGTCAAATTTCCTTGAATAGACGTCTACCAACAATTTAGAATTTTCCTAGAAGTATCACATGGGCCTGTCTCTCACCTCAAATATTAATTCCATACACAATTCCACCAAGCTTTCAGACACTTTCCAATGGACAATTAATTATGTTCTAAAGCAGTTCTCGGTAACTTCGGTGAACATGAGCACATCAAAGTGTAAACTCCGTGATGCACCCTCTTCTTGGAGGGATTTTATCATTTGGGCTTCGCATAGATGGAGACGCTGAAACCTCATAATTCAATCAATAAACTTGTCTTTTCTACCACGGTCAACCAGATCTGGATGGAGCGTAATGAAAGGGCCTTCTCAAACAAAAGGAGAACACAAATGAGAGTGCTGAATCGCACCATGGATTTGGTGAAACACAGGTTAACTTCCTTGACTGTATGGCTTCGTTTGGATACATAGGAGAAAAAAGAAATGAAATGATTATAAGAGAAAAGAAACGAAATGAAATGAAATGAAATAATAGCTATAATTTATATTCATGTTTGGGTAGATAGGAGAGAAAAGAAAGAAATTGACAATATTGTTGTTTGGATAACACAAAGAAGAGAAAAGAAGGAAAAGGATAATAATGAAATTACCATCTTACCCTTTTTCTTGCAATATTGGTGAAAACCAGCTTTCTTCCAAAGTGCTCTCTATAGGAACCAAACCAACTTTCTCCATGTCATAAAAAAGTTCTATAACTTCTTTTGGTTGATTGTTTTGTGAATACCCTGCAATTATTGCATTCCAAGACACCACATTTCTATAAGGCATTTCATTAAAATACTTCCTTGCCAAATCTAACTCCCCATTTTTGGCATAACCATTGATCATGCTAGTCTATGAGAAAACATCTCTCGTTCTTATCTTGTCAAAAATCGCTTTTGCAGTAATCAAGCAACTACATTTTATATACATATCCAACAAGGCATTCATCAAATTTAGACTACAATTCAAATTATTATTTTCTACATACTCGTGAACAAATTTCCCTAAACTTAAGTCTCCACTTTGAGAGCAAGCCGAAAGCACTGTGATCATAGTAACTTCATTAGGTTCAACACTACTTGACAACATCGAGTTAAAGAGCCTCAAAGCCTCATGTGGCATATTCTTCTGCGCGTACTTGTCAATCATTGTGGTCCAAGAAACAACATCCCTCTCGGTAATTTCATCAAACAACAAACGCGCATGATTCAAACACCCACGATTTGCATAAAAATGAATCAACCCATTTTGCACAAGCAGATCAGAAACAAAACCCACCTTCCAAATTTGACAATGGACCGATTCGCTCACTTTGAATCCACAAAACAGCTCACACGCTTTGAGCGCAAAGACGAAGGTTCGACTGTCCATTTCAACACATTCCCAAACCATTCTGCGAAAACAAGAGAAACCCATCTCAGGAAATTGAGCTTTGCAGTAACCCCTGATCATTGTATTCCATATATAAACATTGGGTTCTGGAATTTGGTTGAAGAGCAGTTGAGCGTGATCTATGTTGCCATTGTCGGAGAGTGCACAGATAGATATCACTCGGCTTAGAGGAAAGAGGTGAAAAATGAGGCCAGTTCGAGTTATGTGTGCTTGAATTTACTTCAATTCGAACATGGAATTGCACGACACCATGATTAACAAAGTTGGGTTGGTGATCATGAAACTGTTCTATGAGTTCCATTTTGGTTTTTGGAAGGCTAATTTTGTCTCTCTTTTTCAGTTGTTTCCTTTCCCCTCAAATCTCTCAAAATTGAGGGGATTTGATTTTACTGTATTGGAGGGATTCGGAGGGATAGCCTATCTCTCCAAATCCTTTCCAATCCTTTTTTTTCTCTTCTATTCCCTCCATCCAAACACACTTAATACTATCATTCCCTTTCTTTTCTCTCCAAATCCCTTTAAATCCCTCAATCTAAACGAGGCCTAAAGGATTTGCACACTGCGAGGAGGGTTTTGCTTGAATGGGATCTGCCTCAATCCTTCATCAGGCCGCCGCCGGAACTGGATTGACCACCAGAGGCTCTGCCTCATCTCACAGCGCTCACCGGATGAATTGTTGTTCCAGACATAACTATTCTAGGGTTCTTAGAATATTAATGTCTTCATTAACTGTTGAATGGGCCACTGTTGGTCTGTCTGTTTATTGGCTGTTTGGGCCTTGTCATTTGGGCTTTATTGTATATTTTACTTATTAATATAACACTTTACCTTCCAAAAAAAAAAAAAAAAAATTACTATCAACTCTCAAGACCAACACAAATGCTAATTAAGGACGTAGATGGGAAGATGCTGAGAAAATATATAAATGTCCAACAAGTGTGCTTGGCAAGTCCCATGGCCTAGGCAAGACTTGAATAGTTAGTGAAGCCAAATTGTGGACTAGAATAGTCTAAGATTTGAATAGTTAGTGAAGCCAAATTCTGGACTAGAATAGTTTAACTTGACGGTGTCAATTGGTACTTGATTCATGCTTAGAAGAGCATTATTATTGGCTTCGCTTAGTTAGGGCCCCCCCCCCCCCCCCCCCCCCCCCCCCCCCCTTTTTTTTAATCTAAAGTTTTACTTATTTTTATGCAATTGGATTGGTCTTGCTTTAAGTTCGGATTCTCAATTCTAGTTTGAAGTTTGAAATTTGAAATTTTTTATTACATGGTCCCGACTAATCACAATATGTGAGTCATGTTATGATTGGCTTGGACCATTTTGTTTGTATGTCATATTATAATTGGCTGGAACTATGTAAATTTTTTTTTCAAAGTCACTAAGACTGGCCTATTATGAGTTTTAATTATAATAAGGGAGAGGAAACAGAATGAAAAGAGGGAGGTTGTGTACTGTGGAAGTATAAAGAGGATCATGCCAAAGCTATTCATGTTTTTACACCAATTAGTTAGGTGGAATCAAATTCAAAACTCAATGCATCAAATACTTAATCTAATATTGTAAACCAAATTTCAAAATTGTTATGAAAATGAAAATAAAAATTAATATTGGTAGTTGATATAATTAATACAAAGAGCATCCATAAATATCAATCTTTTCTGCACAAACCATCGTCATGTTATCATGTATGCGGAGTATGATGCATGGGTTGCCGTTGTTGACCACTTGCCTGCCACAGTAGTATATTCATTCTCGAAAAAAAAAAGAAAATAAGAAAAAAACAAAGGTAGTGGCTTAAAAAGAGGGACATGTCACTTCCCGTTTTCATTGTTACAGGTGACTGATTAAGCGTGTATTTATGAAATGGGCCCAATGGTACATTTTACATGCCATCTCCACAGCATATTTTGGAGTTTTCAAGAAAAAAAACTATCCACCATTAGATAATTCCATTAAAATTAAATTATTGCAAGATATAAGGCAATAGTACTATAAAGTATAAAAGTCATCCATTTTGGAGGATCGAGGAAATTAAGGAAGAAGCATTGACTAGGTCAGTCGTGTACATATAAGTAGTATTATATAAGAGAGGGAAGAGCTATTATAGCTGCAAAAGTAGAATTCATAATTTGAAAAAAAAAAGTGTGTGTAAAGATGAAACCTATCGTCCTGCAGCTGTGGTATGTTATCCTGATAGCATGGGCAGCCGCGTCGGCATCTGCGGGTACAGAAGAAGTAGCAGCGACATCAATGGCACTGCCGGGCTGCAAAGATAAATGCGGCAATGTAAGTGTCCCATACCCTTTTGGCATTGATGACTCTAAATGTTCCAAGAATGAAAGTTACTTGTTAAATTGCACGGTTGAGGCCTCCTTGGACTCTTCTCCTAGATTAATGATGGGTAACATTCAACTTATGAATATTTTTGTGGAGAATGGCACATCCATAGTCAACATATTCATGGCATACAATTGTTACAACAAGTCTACCAATAAAATGGATTTTTATGATCATGAAGTGAACTTGACTGGAGCACCATTCATGTTCTCAGCCACTGAAATCAAATTCACTGAAATCGGTTGCAACACATTGGCATTCATTGCGGACTCAGAGGGGACACGGTTTGGGAGCGGGTGTCTCTCCTTGTGCTCCCAGGACCTCCAAGAGGGTTCTTGTAATGGGGTTGGGTGCTGCCGTACCGAAATTCCCACGCGTCTCAAGACCTTAGAAATGAGTATTGCCCCAGTGAATGATACCTATGACCAAAGCTTCCGTCCCTGCAGCTACGCCTTCTTGGCCCACCAAAACTGGTCAGGTTACTGGAGCATAAATCTCTCTGATACCGCCCATGTCACAAGAGAGGCACCAGTGGTTCTTGACTGGGTTGTAGGAGACGAAACATGCCAATCGTTAGACCAATCCCCCTCCAAATCCGCCTGCGGCCCTAACAGTGATTGCCATGACTCCGTTAACGGCCCTGGATATCGCTGCATTTGCAAGTCAGGCTACCATGGAAACCCTTATCTTCCTGAGGGATGCCAAGGTGATCACTTCACTTTTATTGTTTTCAATTACTTTTCTTTATAAAGACTATCGAGTCTGCTTTTTCTCCTTAATTATTTTTATTTATAAATGAATTTGAGGGTTTTAACTTGGATCAGTTTGTAACAGATATTAACGAATGCGAAAATCAGAATGAATATCATTGTGAAGGAAAATGTGACAACATTCCAGGGAATTACACTTGTCATTGCCCGCTCGGCATGTATGGCAATGGCAAAGTGGCTTGCAAGGGCTTTCGTATTACTACTATCGTTGGCGGTAACTTACTTCCTCACATTTCTTGTATTATCTTTTTAAAACCTCTTCATTATTTCCCCAGTCGTATACAACATGAAATAATAATAATAGTCATCAAAGTAATTCTAGCTTGATACCCTTGCATTATCGGTATTCTGTTTTACCACAAAATTTGATAGATTTTAACCCATTCTCATGGATTGCAGTTTGTGCAGCAGGCGTGACTCTTGTGGTACTCTTTATTTTTCTATGGATGGAGTTAAGGAGAAGAAACAAAATGAAATATTTTCGAAAAAATGGAGGTTTGTTGTTAAAGCATCAAAGGGTTAGGATCTTCAGAGAAGCAGAGCTGGAGAGGGCAACCAACAATTATGATGCTCCTCGACTTCTTGGCCAAGGAGGCTCTGCTACAGTCTACAAAGGAGTTCTAGAAGACAATTCAGTAGTGGCCATCAAAAAGCCCAAGGAGACCGAGAGAACTCAAAATAAGCACCTTCCGCTCGAGGTAATAACCGAGCAATTTCAACACGAAATTAACATTCTTTTTCAGGTAAACCACATAAATGTTGTGAAACTCTTGGGCTTGTGTTTGGAGACCAAAATCCCACTGCTGGTTTATGAGTTTGTCTCAAATGGATCACTCTATGACCACATCCATGTCAAGCGCTCTACAACCTTAAGATCATGGGTAAATTGTCTAAAGATCGCTGCAGAAAGTGCGCTGGCACTGGACTACTTGCACTCATTAGCCGACCCCCCGGTCATTCACGGAGATGTTTAGTCCATGAACATACTTCTGGATGACAAATTCACTGCAAAAGTTGCAGATTTTGGAACTTCTGTACTAATTTCATTGGATCAAAGTGTTGAAACCAAAATAAATGGCACGCCTGGGTATATGGATCCAGAGTATTTAAATACTGGTATTTTGACGGTCAAGAGCGATGTTTATAGCTTTGGGGTTGTCCTAATGGAGCTTTTAACGGGACAGAAACCAGTCTCGAATCAAAGGTCTGGGGAGAAGGCCAACTTCATTCAGTACTTCATTAACTCGGTAAAACAAAAAAAATTATCTCAGGTTCTGAGCTTTGGAGAAGATGATTCAGGGGAAATGGATCAGATATAAGCAGTTGCTGAGCCGGCTCGGAGATGTCTCAATAGAAGTGGCATGAGACGGCCTACAATGAAGGAAGTGGCTGAAAAGCTGCTGTCGCTTAAAAAACGTAAGAACTTTGGAGCTAAGGAGAGAGGGGAAGAGATGGAGAGCTTGCTAGGAGGTGAAATATTGAATTATGCCAATGAAGAAAATGATACGATGTTTTACACGAGCACAGAAGTGCTTCACATGACAGCATTAGACATTGAACGAAAATGATCTGCAGGCCAACATTTGGATTCACTTCTATAGTTTCCTTGTGCCATATCTATATTGTACTTAGGTAGTGTTAAACTGTTTTGATTGTGTCTTTTATCAGTATGATCATTGTTTGATATAGGTATTGCCATCTTTATTTAAATCTGCACTTCTATATATTCAGTGATATGTATGAAAACATGGCGCACAATGATCGAGTGTTATGAAGTAAGGATGTGTATTATACATACTTATTTTGTTTTAATGTACAATTGTTCCGTCCTATGCCGGCTCTTATTATTCAAATAATTAATTTAATGTTATATGGTGAGACTATTATGTTACCAAGATTTGAGAGCATTGGAATCAAATTGTAAGATTACTATAGCAGCTGGCTTTTTTGACGCTTGAATTAATTCAAACTGCCTCTGGCTTCAAAAGAAATTTATAGCAAGCAGACGTACCGTACAGATATTCATTCTAACTTGATATATATACATAGCCAAACTGTCTAACTTGGGAGTTTGGATTTCGATAAGCAATAATTTGAACTCTTTCCTGTTTGTGGATATCTTTATCCTACCACACTGCACCCTTGTGTAGATAATAGGTCAGTAATGGTAATTAAGCATTGGAGTTGCTTAATGGCTACCACCTATCCTCTCTCTCTCTCTCTCTCCCTTTCTCTTTGTCATAGCCATGGACGTCTTCAATTCAATCATATCTCACACTATCTCAATGAACCCCTTCAAGCACCATTGGAGATGTAATTTTTTTTTCTATCACCCACCCGTCCTTTGCAGATGACCTAATAGATCTTATTTTCACATGGAGACTTGCAATCTATATCCACTCTCAAGAGGGCTATTGATCTATTCTCAGATCGAGTTCTCTGGTCTGACAATCAATAGGCTAAAAGCTCAACTGGGAAGAAAATGATACCATGTTCTACACCAAATCGGAAGCTCCTTACATGACAGCATTAGACATTGGACAATTATGATATGGTGGTGGTGTCTGATCAAGGGTGGCAACCAACAACTGGATTCACTTCTGTAGTTTCCTTGTCTCCTTATCTAGCTTTGTGTGTACTCATGATGGTAGTGTTGAAACCGTTTTGCATGAAAAATGTGTAACAGTTAATTATGTATAGTTTTATTTGCTTGTGAATAGTATTATATATAAAAACACTGTCTTTTCATACATACTTTGTTTGGTGTAATATATTTTGAACAGGGCGGATCCAGAAAGTTTCGTTTGGGGACAAAACTTATAGAATGATTTGAGTTTTAAAATCATTAGAAATTATAAAATATTTTCTCTTCAAATTAAATATCCTAACATATATTTTTAATATAAAAGAAGATCTAAGATAAGATTGCTTTTAGATTTAAAAAAAAAAAAAAGATTTATTGCTGCAAATGGACAAAATATATATCCTTATATCTCCAATCAAGTATAACTTGTACCCAAAAAATAAATAAAAAGGAGCAATAGAAAGTTGTGCTCAATGATATTCTAAAGAATAAAAATCATTTATTTATGAATCAAAATTGAAATTCATAACAATTTCTCTCTCAATGTTGGAAACTAAATAATCTTTAAGAAATTCATTGAACATCTTGTTATGAAACTGGATTTTAAAAATTTTCACTCTTTATTGTGAAAATTGAAAGAGTTAAAGCAAGTCAAATCAATTGATTAATTAAATGGTAGATCTTACTCCTCTTTATAATTTTCATTGTTTGGATTGTCCCACTTTTAGTTGGGCCTCATTTTGGGGCATCCCTGTACATGTGTATTGATATGCAATGTGTATTCCATGGGTTTTTGAGTGGGCCAAATATTTAAACAATAAATTTTATATGCAATGGGTTTTTGCGTGGGCCAAATTTCATTTTCGTTTGTATAAACAATGGGTATTTGGATGGTCCATAAGTTATATGGGTTTTAATGGGCCATCCTGTACATTTTCACTAAGTTGCCAAAATTTGATAGACTTGGGGTCCACTTAGTGAGATTGTAGAAAATTTTGGAACGGGCCCATGGCCCTCCCCAGTGTGCTTGCGTTTTCCTTTTGCTAAAAGTTGAAAGCTTGATTTTTTTGGATAGGTGGTACTCTTAAAAGAAACAAGTTTTCTGCTTTACGTTACAGAACAATCCCAAATGATATCACAAATATATATATATATATATATATATATATAAATCTGGATTCACTTAATATTATTACACATGAATAACATCTTGAACGGAGAATCGTAAATAAGGATGTTATCAAATTTTATTTAATTTTATGTACTTTGGTGCTTGATTATAAATGTTTAATTTTATTATCGAAATTCAAATATCATAGTTGTCGCTCGTTTGGCATGCGCTTTGTTTTAGGTGTTTTGTTTTTTTTTGTTAAAAGAGAAACAGTGTTTTTGCTATAGGAATGTTTGGGAAAAAAATTAGAAGTATGTTTGGGAACGACGTTTTATTGTGAAAATGTTGGAAACAAAAATATGAACAATTATGATTTTGGGTCATGAACAGTTGTCAAAATAAGAAAAAATAATTTTTTGGTGTTTTGGTTTTGAGCCACTGTTCACGAAGTGTTTTAGCACTGTGTAAAATAAAATAAGACTGCACCAAACATACTTTTGTTGTCAAAATTGACACTGTAGTAGCCCTAAAACAAAACTGCAGGAACAAAACCCATGCCAAACAGATACAATTTTTTTCTTACACAAAGATTATATATAACAGATACAGACACTTACATACATATACAATATATAAACAATATGGTTAAACCTCGCACACCATTTTTCCATATTTTCATCAATCAGCATCATCTTCTCCTGCTCGTAGCTAAGAAACCATGTTCAGCTATAAACATGCAGTAACAATCAACAATAGAAATGTAATATGTTAAGATCCAAAGTCTCCAAACTTAATCACAATCGCATAATTCATCCTAACCTTGTTCTAGTACCGCGTCGATCTCTTGTAACAACACTTTGCACTAAAGCCTCCCCAACACTTTCTCCAATGCCGTCAATAAGCCCTCCAATGAATCCAACAACAACATTAGTTGCAAGACGAGCCGCCATCCCAAACATGCTCGAAGACGGCGTCTCAGCTGTTTCGTTGATTCCGTTGTCTCGAAGCCCATTGATCATGTTCTTGGCACAAGCTGCGTGGAGATTGTAATCACAAACTGTGCAGTGGTACACTCGACCCGACCTCTTCCTCTTGCACTCACCACATGCAAAACCAGACTCACCGTTTGATGGTGCCATTGCAGGTAAGAGTTTCAAGGTGTGTGGATGATACTTCTTAAAGTTCTTTTCAGTTGAAAGCATAGCACAGCAAGGGTGCATCTGGAAACTGCAGGCGTTGCACCGGAATGTAAACCCCCTGGTGGGCTTGCCACAAACATCACATCTTGGCCCCATAAGTCCACCTTTAACCAATTACTACGTAAATTAGTACAAAGCCTGATTATTATTACATCTTGATGACACAAATGCTTAAAAATGGTCCCTTTTGTAACATCATTTATATATGATAATTCTAAACTTACAAAAGAATTGTTTGTTAACATGTATCAAATCGTACTCAAAAGAAGGTTAGACCGTAAGGTTTTGAATTCAAGTCTCATTACCTAGACAATATATGATCGATCATAAAACATTTACATGGTTCAAGTTTTTAGAGGAGGTGATTATTAATATCAGTAAGGTATCACAAAAATTATAGGCCTTCTTGATTCATTGTCCTATGAAAGTTCAATTTAAAGAAGAAAAAAAAAAAAAAATTTATTTCTCTTAAAACAGTTTTCTGTTTTCTGGATTCGAAACTATTTTTTGAGTGACAAACCAAGCAAGTCTTATATATCTAAAGCAAAAGGGTATTTGGATTGCTTTCTTTGGGAGAAATATAAAAAGTTTGATAGAAAAAAATACCAAATACGTTACCTGGTTTAGATTTAGAATGGAAGAGCAGTTGGTGTTGGCCATGGAGGGGGTGATTCTTGAGAGCTGGAGGAGATAAGGCACAGAAGTCATGCAGCCGAAAGTCACATTGTTGACATCTAAACCTCCTGCCGGCACCACGCTCCTTGCAGCCGGAGCACGTAAAGGGGTCCCTGGACTCAAATTCTTCTAGGGAATGAGGGTGACTCGAGTGAAATATTTCCTCTCCCTTAGTGGGTGGAGGAGAGGAAGGGAATTCAACTGAATTAAAGGGCTTCTTTGGGAGATATGTTTCTGAATAAGGAAGTGAGGTCTGGAGTTCCATTGAAGGAGTCCTTTTCAGGACAAATGTTCCCGACTTTCTCAGGGGTTTTGTGTTCATGGTTGGCTCTCTCTCTCTCTCTCTCTCTCTCTCTCTGATTCCTAACTCTGAATTGGTGGTGGCACTGCAATTTGCAAACTGGGAATATTATTTATGTTGGAAAAGCTGGCACTGTTTTGAGGCCACGCAGAAAGAGGATGCCAGTAAGACCCTTGATAGATTTGCATGTGCTTGTCTTACTTGTAAGAAAATGAAATAAAATCTAGAATAGTTATGATTAAAAATGAAATAAATTCATTATTTATTATTCTTATATGACAGTTTCAAATTATCATTATACATGTGTTTTGTGTTTTCACTGAATTAATTAATATGATAGATACCACTACTAGCTTGATGCAAAAATTGGACAATCATATATATGAAAATACTTGTTTAAATTTATGTATATAGAAATCACTTTGAACAAATAAATATTCATTTCCCACATTTTAGGACAGTTTAATTCTGCTAATACGGTATTTCTAAAATATGTGAAACGAATATAAACCTCACTTTGTGTTGTTATTTGTTCGAAGTGAATTCTACAACTTTGCTATAATCAGTATGAAAAGTGCATAACACTACATTAAAGGAAAATAATATAATGATAATATATTTGTACCGATTGATGTTATAAATACTTAAAATAAAATAATATAATTTTTTCTTGTTAAACTCTATTCATTGGAATTGTATAAAAAACCAATTGATTTTTACATCATTGCAAATCATATGATCCAACATGTGATTGCACTATCATGAATACTAGTATTTTACCTCTTTTGGCACAACACATCGAATGATCCAACATGTGATTGATCAACCACTGTCATGAATTAATACTAATGTTTTACCTTAATTTTACTGATGCACATGAATATTTTTAATTAAGAGCCAAAGGAAGGAATATATTTTTATATCCAAATACTTTTTACTAGATTTAAGCAAACAAAAGAATAAAGAAAGAATAAAACTGAAGTTGGAGCTCACAGGAGGAGGTAGTTTCACACGCCATTACTTGCTCAAAAGTCAAGGTTTTATATGCCTTTTCCTTTATTTGATTATAGCCAATTAATTCCTTTGTTGTGATAAATACTTCAGAATTCAAGTTTGTTTTCTAACCAAGTTCTTATTTTTATGCTTCATAAAGTGTGTGACACGAATCCACATCTTTTGGGAGGATTATTATTCGATTTAAAGATGTGGAAACCAAAGAAATTGTTGCACCCCTTGTTTTGGGGTTAAAAGTACTCTAAGATTCATGATAGATTAACTTAATTAATCTCTAGCTATTTCTCTGTTATTAGTTGTAAAGCAATTTACACAAACCAATATATATATATATATATATATATATATATATATATAAATAATGATGTGACTTTTTTGACTTGGGGTCTTAATTTGATGCCCAATTATTGGTTGTGTATTTCAAGTGATTCCCATTACTAGTACTTTCTTGCCATACCATTTACACCAATACATGTAACCCAAAAGAAAGTGGCAAAAAGATGAGGAGAGATTCGATTAAAACTTCTTTTAGCCATACAACTAATTCTGTAAACAGTGCTGATTAAGATTATCGGTATGGTGCTAATTAAGATTATACATTTCTTGGTACTATAAATAACTTGAGTGGTATATTCTTCACCTTCTAAGTTTGAAAGAGGAGACCAGACACTGAAGTAAGCATGATGCTATAAATTTTATAAATAAATCAGTCTAGTATAAGGTCAAATATGAGGAAGGCAAAAAAAAAAAAAAAACAAGAACATGCAACACAAAATTAATGTGGTTCATGATAATCATCATCTATGATAAACAAAGCCCAAAGGTTGCATGTTTTGTATTCCTTTCTCTTCATTTTCACTATGACCGGCGTCTCAAAAACTTTTAAGAGCTCTCTCTTAATTTGACATGTTTACCAAAAATAGTGAATGAAATCATAATATTATCACATTGCTCCTATTTAATTAATATAATTCAAATGTGACAGTTCAATATACAAGTTTAACTAAAGAGTGTGATTTATTGTAAATTAATTTTAATATTTCGTAAAGTTTCCTTTCAAATTCTCAGGTCCTCCCAAAATTTGTACATAATTTTTTTTTTCTTAAACCATTCCCTTTATTTATTTGTTTTCAAGTGTGGGGAGTAGGACACGTCAATATCAGTTGTTGGGCCCATTGATTATCTTAATGGACCAGGAGACTACTGACCAATTATCTGTCTCCTTCAACCTATTGAAAATGTTGCAGGGTACGTACTTTTAGAGCATTTTTATTAGGTTTTTCGGATTTGTCATATCAATATTTTTTTATAAACATATTAATATTTTTATAGTATATTTTAAAGTCTTTAAATTTTAGTTATCGCATGTACTTCAATAGTGCATTTTTGCTCTACAAAAATATTAATATTTTAAAAATTCAAAAAAAAAGTTTTTGTGCTAATAGGTATATTTTAAAAAGTAAATTTTTTTAAAAAAAAACCACTTTTCTTTATTTTTTTAAACTTTTTTTGCCCAAAAAAGCCTTTAAGGCACTGTTTGGCTTAAGGGTTCTTTGGTTCAATTATTTTGAGGGGAAAAAAAAAGAGGAAAAAAAAAAGAGACAAAGAGAAGCCAAAAATCTATTTTTTTTTCTCCTTTTTTTTTTTTTTTTTCCAGGCAAACATGCCCTTAGGAACAGTGTTCTGGGCTAAAATACTGTTTGGGCCCGAATTAAAAAAATAAAAGAAAATTAATGCTGGCCCGCATGGCATGCCCGTGAATCACCAAAGGGGTTGCTTCTTTCAGCGATCCATTCCCCGACCCAATGGGTGGGGCCTTATTTTTGGCAAGTCCATTGGAAGAGTCTAATTGCGAAATTTGGCCCAAAATCGTTGGATTTTGGACCATTGGACTTGCTCTTAGAGTTTAAACTATATAACTTCAATTACAATTAAAATTAGTATAGGAGCTGAGTGGTGATTCTTAGCTTTTCCATTGTTTTAAACAACTTGTTTTTATGTATTTCGTACTTGTATTTATATCTTTCACTTGGGAAGCCTAGGTGGATCTGATTTGAAAATTTAGATGGAACCATGAAAATCCGAGGTTTCCTTTAGATGACTAGTGGTATTCTTAGAAGAAAGAAGTTTTCAAATATTATCAATTTTTTTCGATAAAGAAAATTTATTATGGATTCACTTAATATATATTGTTAAACATGAATTTCATTTTGAAAGGAGAATTGTAAGACGGGGTCTTATCATATTTAATTTGATTTCATACATGGGTACTTGACTTAAATGTTTAATTTTATCACTTAAATTCAAAGACCATATCAAACTACAGAATTGTCTATTCCAAATTTTCGTACTATATGTCATTAAAAATTGGGTATCATTTTTCTTACGGAAATTAACATTATATAACAGATACAAACACTTTCATATGCAATATATAACAATAGGGTTAAACCTAGCACACCATCATTATTCCATATTCAGCATCGATCGTCTTCTTCTGCTGGTAGCTAAGAAACCATCTTCAGCTATAAACAGTAATACAATCAACAATAGAAATGTAGTATGTTAAGATCCAAAGTCTCCAAACCTTTATTACGTACAATTGCATATATATTCATTCCACCCTTCTTCTACTACCGCCTCTATCTTTTGCAACACTTTGAATTAAAGCTTGTCCAAGGCCTTCTCCAATGCCCTCAATGAATCCCACAACAACATGAGATGCGATTCGAGCCGCGATCCCAAGCATGCTCGACGACTCAGCTGGGACCTTGATTCCATAGGCTTGAAGCCCATTAATCATGTTCTTGGCACAAACTGCATGGAGATGGTAATCACAAACTGTGCAGTGGTACACTCGACCCGATCTCTTCCTCTTGCACTCACCACAAGCAAAACCAGACTCACCATTTGATAGTGTGGTTGCAGATAAGAGCCTCAAGGTGTGTGGATGAGACATAAAGTTCATTTCCGTCGAAAGCATAGCACAGCAAGGATGCATCTGGAAACTGCAGGCGTTGCATCGGAATGTAAATCCCCTTGTGGCCTTGCCACAAACATCACATTTCGGCCACATAATTCCACCTTTAACAAATAATTATGTAAATCAGTACAAAGCCAGATTATACTTCTTGATGATACAAATACTTGGAAAGTCAGGGAGGGAATTATTGAAGAAACCATAGTCTTATGATCAGAATGGTGAATGCACTCAAAGGGATCAAATTTTAGCTTATGGTGCCATTACAGCTGATACATACATCCTTTATGATTTAAAACTTATAAAAGAATTGTTTGTTTGCATGTACCAAAACTCAAAAGAAGGTAAGAAAGTAAGGTACTGAATTTAAATCTAAATTACCTAAACAATTGTCACGACTCACCTCAACTCATGTAATTATTGTCTGCTTTACACACTTTTATCTAGGTGTTCATGATTTATCAAAAGTGTCATACACATATAAAAACCAGAAACTTCTCCCCAGGTGATTGTAACATCATAATAATATATGATCATAAAACATTTACAAGGTTTGAGTTTTTGGAGGAGTTGGATTGTTAAAATCAATAAGGGACGTAGCACAAAAATTATATATATCTAAAGCAAAAGGGGTATTGGGTTGGTTTGTTTATAATTTTTTTGAGAAGGAGTAGTAAACCCCACCGATTTTTAATGCTTGAACCATGATATGAAATGAGTTGATAAATTAAGCATATATAGATCAATATAACCTAAGGTAAGATCTTATTATTATTATGCATATAATATAGTATGTCATTGGACAACCACCGTGTCTATATATGTTCTTTCCCATAGAAAGTGTGTATCCACTTAACAGAGCGACCCTCTTTGGACTGTAAAGAGGGAAAGAAACAAAAAACAAAAAAAATTCTTTGAGAGAAATATAAATTTAAAGTTTGAGGGAATTAAAAATACCAAATAATTTACCTGGTTTAGATTTAGAATGGAAGATGAGCAGTTGGTGATGTCCATGGAGGGGATGGTTCTTGAGAGATGGAGGAGATAAGGCACAGAAGTCATGCAGCTGAAAGTCACATTGTTGGCATGCGAATCTCCTGCCGGCACCACGCTCCTTGCAGCCGGAGCACGTAAAGGGGTCCGGGGTTTTAACTTCTTCCAGGGAATGAGGGTGACTGGAGTGAAGTATTTCCTCTCCCTGGTTGGGTGGAGGAGAGGAAGGGAATTCAATTGAATTAAAGGGCTTCTTGGGGACATATGTTTCTGAATAAGGAAGTGAGGTCTGGAGTTCCATTGAAGGAGTCTTTTTTAGGAGAAATGATCCCGACTTTCTCAGGGGTTTTGTGTTCATGGTTGGCACACTCTCTCTCTCTCTCTGTCTCTGTGTGTGTGTGTGTGTGATTCCTAACTCTGAATTGGTGGTGGTGCAATTTGCAAACTAGGAATATTATTTATGTTGGAAAAGTTGGCACTGTTTTGAAGCCACCCAGAAAGAGGTGTGCTTGTTTTACTTTTAAAAATAGGAAAGAAAATCTAGAATAGTTACAAATAAAAACGAAATGAAATCATTATTTATCATTCTTATATGCCAGATCGAAATATCATGATACATGTGTTTGTGTTTCCACTAAATTAATTTATACGGTAGATAACCACTACTTTATGCAATTCTAGAATTTGGGCAAATCATATATGAAAACATTTGTTTAAATTTATGTATATAGAAAATTACTTTGACAAATAATATCAAAAAGTAAAGTTTATATTCCATTGACAATGTCTAATACATTTTCCTAAGAGAAACCAATATATAAACCTCACTTTTCAAATACATTGTCCTATCTGAAATGAATATAAATCTCACTTGGTGGTATTATTTGTTCAAATTGATTCCTACAATTTTGTTATGGCTAATGTGAACATTCTGCTAATACATTGTCCTAAAATATGTGAGACAATATAAACCTTAAATCACTGTGAACAGGCATCACACATAAAAATATCTATCTATAAACACTTGAGATAAGAGAAAATGGGAATATTTTCACCTTTGTTGGACTTTAGTTATTCATTGAAATTGCATCAAAAATCGATCTTTAGTTATTTTATATGATTGCTCCACGTCAAAGTACCCAACATATGATCCCACTGTAATGAATACTAATATTTTACCTCTTTAGGCACAACACATCGAATGATCCAACATGTGATTGATCAACCACTCTCATGAATTCTAATATTTTACCTTAATTTTACTGGATGATGCATGCATATTTTTAATTAAGAGCAAAGGAAGGAATATATTTTTATGTCCAAAGACTTTTTTACTAGCTTTATGGTTTATAAATGTGCCTTGTTAAGCAAACAAGAGAATAAAGTAAGAATAAAACGGAAGTTGGAGCACACACCATTACTTCCTCAAAAGTCAAGGTTTTATATGCCTTTTCCTTTATTTGATTGTGGCCGATTAATTATTTTGATGTGATAAATACTTCCGAATTCAAGTTTGTTTTCCATCCAAGTTCTACCTTTTATGGTTCATAAAGTGTGTGACCCGAATCCACGTCTTTTGGGAGGATTATTATTCGATTTAAAGTGGAAACCAAAGAAATTGATGCACCACTTTTTTTTGGGTTAAAAGTCCTTTAGATTCATGATATATTAAAGGATTATATATATATGTGGTGTGCTAGTGACTAATATATATTATTTGATAAAGTTAAAACTTATAGTTTCGAAAAAATAAAAATATGAAAAAATACTGTTTACTCTAACTGAGATGTATCGCTTTTAGACACGTATATAGTTATATATCACTTTTTGTGTATTTAATTACCATTTTTTGTGTTGCACAAAAAAGTGGTACCTCATGCACAAAAAGTGATACATATATAATAAAAGTGGTACTTCTATATCCAAAATAAAAGTGGTAACTGATCTAAAAATAGTAGTATCTCTGTGCACAAAAAGTAATACCTATATGCCTTAAAGTGATACTTCAATGAGAGGTAAACAATGTTTTTTTTACGTCCACGTCAATATTATTAGCACCATTTATACGTAATAATCTCATATTTTCTGTTATTAGTTGTAAAGTAGTTTACTCTAACTGAGATATATCACTTTTAGACAAGTATATACCACTTTTTGTGCGTTTAACTACCACTTTTTGTGTTGCACAAAAAAGTGATACCTCATGCACAAAAAGTGATACATATATAATAAAAGTGGTACCTCTATATCCAAAATAAAAGTGGTAACTGATCTAAAAATAGTAGTATCTCAGTGCACAAAAAGTAATATTTATATGCCTAAAAATGATACCTCAATGAGAAGTAAACAATGTTTTTTTACGTTAACGTCAATATTTTGGTTAATTTTATTTTTTTTTAAACTATAAAATTTTGACCCTACCAAATAATAAATATAAACCATTAGCACTATTTATACATAATAATCTCGTATTCTCTTACATTAGTTGTAAAGTAATTTACACAAAACAATATATATATATATACAGTGATGCGACTTTTTTCAATCTCTTGACTTGGGGTCACTGATGCCCAATCATTTGGCGTGTATTTCAAGTGATTCCCATGACTAAGTACTTTCTGGCCATACCATTTACACCAAGAGATGTACACAAATGAAAGTGGGATTTAAACCCTTTCATCAATATAACTAAATCAGTAAACATTATTTAGAGATGAATTTTTTTTGTTTACTTCCTTTGTCCTAAAAAAAAAAGGTTATGGGTTTTTTTTTTTTTTTTTTTTCAAAATAGTTATCACTTTTCTTTTTATTACAATATATTTTACATATTTTTATACTTCTTGGATTTTAAAATTTCAAGTTTAAATATTCAAAATTAAAAAAAATAAATTAGTAATTTTTTAATTAGATAAGACGTGTCTCATATGTCTCCTTGAAAATTCTTGTTGTCCAAAAACATCTGCATTAGAATAGAGAAAGTATTATTCAGCCTCATTATGGACTTTATGCATTTTTCAGTCGCTCTTCACTTTGAAGTAAATGAAACCAGCTTTGGCAAGTGGGATTGAGATCAAATTCAACAAGGCCACCCACTAATTTTAAGTGTCTTCTTACAACACTACAACATTTGACCGCATCAATCATTTCACTTTAAATGTCAACCATGATTTTTCAGTTACCCTTTTCGGATAAGTGTCAAATATGAAATTAATGTTGTAAATAAAAATAATATTTTTTTAATTTTTAAACTTGAGTGTATATATTGTTTACCTTCCAAAGAGGAAACACAGCACTTAAGTGGGCAATGATGCTGTAAATTTTATAAATAAATCTATCCGGTGTAGTTTATTGGAAAACAAAATAAAAAGACTTTGGTCCATGATGTTGCTTGTCGGGCTAATAGTCGCGGCCTTCTAATTAGGCCATCCATTGGGTATTACATGAGAAATGAATCCGGCCCAGACGGTTAATTATTTTTGAAATATAAATCAGGCCCAAAATGTAAAAAGACGTACAGAAGACAACTTTTAGGCCCATTCTAATTTGAAAAGAACAGCCTACTGACATTGCTCACACCGTCGAACCTACACCAAGAACAGGATTTCGATTTTGCTTTTAATCATTTCCTTTATTTATTTGTGTTTTGACGGTGAAGAGATTAAGAACACATCGTTATCAGTTGTTGGGTCCATTGATTATGTTAACGACCAGGAGACTAATGCCCAATTCTTTGTATTAAAAATGTTGAAGGGTACGTCCTTTTAGAGTGGAACAATTTGCAACATTTTCAATATTTCAAACAACAAATTCATTGCATCAACAACATTCACTAGCTTTGGTCCACTTTAACATATTCAGGCGACTACAAGTCTTTCTCACTAAATACATTCGATGGTTAGTGAAATCTCTTTATAGCATTGGACACAACTTGTAATGAAGCTGATTCGATTAAGAGCTTATTGGTGGATGTACCAATAATAGATAAGTCTTTACCAGCTATATCCCCATACATTGTGATTGTAAAGCTATTATAGATAATGTAAAACAATTTCATACAAATAAAAAGATGAATAGACATGTACAAGTCAGATATAAATCTGTAAGGAACTTATTAAATAAAAATATTATTTCATTGGATTAAGTTAAATTTGAAAAGAATATCGCCGATCAATTGACCAAGGACCTATTTATGAGTGCAATCCTAGACTTGTTGAGGGAGGTGGGCATAAGCCTATAGGGGAGTCACCTATGGAGGTAACCCAACATTTGTGATTGGAGATCTCGGGAAGAAGGTTCAATGGGTAGAAACAATCCACATTATGTGACTCATCTTAGCACTATCTTGAGGAGACACTTTTCTGCTCATCCTTATGGCATTAGTGCTAAGTAATGTAACATTAGGAAGGGTATTGACCTTGAATGAGTCCGAGGCAGCCATTTCTGCGAGGTACAAGTCATATGTACCCTTGGAGGACTCACCTAAGTGAGAGTCGTTGTGAGGCCACAACCGTGAGAATTATGCTATTCTTTATTAACTCTCATGAGAATCAACATACAGGTGCATGCCCATTAATAGTGCTAACCCACAAAACCAAATCAATCATCAATACTATGTGTGTGATATGTTGAAGTTTGGTTAAAAATGTTTGAGTTCAAGACATAGTTCACTCTAAACCTTCAAATGGAAACTATTAGCACTAACTGTAGGTTCAAACCCGGAAGGTTCCGACACCTTTTACATGGTATAAAGTTGTCCAAGTTTTTTTTTTTTTTTTTTTTAAATTTTAATTTTATTTATTTATTTATTTATTATTATGATTAATATTTTTTTTAAAGAGGTTTAGAAACCTTGTAGGGGATTGTTAATATATTATAAAGATTTCCTAAACCTCTTTGAATGGTTCCACTCTGGAATCCTTTTAATAGAGATTTTTAAGACGGAGACTTTCAACATTGCAATTTGTAATGATTATTTCTCTCAACGTTCTAGCATATATTTCTCACACTTTATTTATGTGATGACCCTGCTTTTTCAAGCCAGTGCGTCATGTGATGACCCGTAAGATGACCCAAAACGGATCCAGTATGCGGAAGCGAAAACAGAAATAAGGTCTCTAGGAATATACGACATCCTTAAGACGCCAAGGTGACCTTCCATGAAGTCACAGAACTTAAAAGAATCAAATGCGAAAGTTAAGATTATAAAATGAGGAGGGTACTTGACCAGGGGTAAAATGGTCTTTTCAAACAAAACTGGATCCAACTGAGCAAACCATTAGATAGAAAAGGAAAAATTAATAAATCTAAAATCAAAAATCACTTGATTCAAAATCCGGATGAAAAAAATATGAAACTCCAAAGTTTCATAAAATTAGATTTTTGGGTTTCAACTCAGTGCGGCAAGGGTATTTGACAAGGGTTAAAATAGTTTTTCAGATAGAATTGAATGCAACAATGCATACCATTGGATAGATAATGAAAAATTAATA